ATACTAGCACTTTCTCAGCCTAACTTTTTCTTTTTCTTTTTTTTTCTTCACACTGCCAAGAGCTGGGGTGGGTGGGGCAGCCATTGCCGGGCTGGGAGAGCAGCCGGGAGATGGGTCCTGTATGATTTGGAGATTTGGCAGCAGCTGAGTCTCTGAATCAGATTTAGCTGAATCAATTTGGGACAGCAATTCAAATCACCGAATCAAATCACTGTCCCCCGAATCAGCCAAATCTGAATCTGAAGCAAATACTTGCCGCTTCGCACAGGCCTATTGAGCACTGCTGAGCTAAGATGCTAAAAATTACTTGCATTTGTACAGGGTGGGAATTAAGGTGTGAATAAAATATAACCCCAAAATACTGCTTCCAACTTTATTTGCTTTAAACCTGACCCAAAGCCTACTGTGTTCAGTGGAAAGAATTTTTACCTAATGTACTTATGTAGAGTGGCAGCTAAAGGCACGCTTGTAAACGTGCACATTTTGACATGAACGTGTGCACCCAGCGGCTGGGGGGCACAGCGGCAGCAGAAGCGCAGCGGTGGGAGGGCAGCAGTGGGAGTGTGCCGGCAGTAAGCGGGAGCTCCCACAGATGCCACCCTTGCTGTCGGCAGCGGGCGGGGGTGGCAAGCACTGACCAGGGGTCAGCATCCATGCACGGATGCCGTTGGTGGCAGCCAGAGGGGATTGCTGATCGCCCGCAGACTCCGGCGGTGGAGGGGAGGGGGTGGTGGTGAGCGGCGACTGCCTATCTTTTTCTAGGTGGTGCACCGCAGTGCTCAGGGGGTGCACGTGCACCCCCTATGTGTCGCCTCTGCATTTCAATGAAAACCGTTGTATAATACTTGTATTTTCTGATCTCTGGTCTTTTTACATATGCTTCATGATGTTTAGTTTTTCCTATTAAATTTTCTTTGTTTACACAGCTGAAAAAGTGCTGTATAATATGGCAAGCTCCCCAAAATATGATGCAACTAATATTAAAACTATGTATGACCACTCTTAAATCAATTGAAGGAAATTAATGTTGTAGGGAATGTGGCAAGTCTCAATCTACAGCATTTTTGTATTATAAGATATTCTCTCTCCCTCTCTGACTTATTTTGAAAGATGGTAGCTTTTGTAACCATTATTGAATGCAACAAGTATTAACCATAGTGGCAGAAAACAAATAGTTGGCCGTTAGGAATAAGTAAGATTTCGACAGTTGCTGTTGGCACACATCTCACAACTTTACAAAGGGCTTAGCAGTTTTACCACCTTCTCTACACCATTATATATATGGCAAACAAGGTGTAGTTAAAAATAAAAACATACAAAAGGAAGAGCCAGGATTCTACAAAAATAGTTCACTAGCATTTTCAAAAGTTTTTCTACCCTGAAGACCAGTTTTTGGCATTGTCCTTTTTTAATTTAAACTGAAAAATACATAATTGATTAGAGACTTAATTCGTTTTGGAGAATGGTTCTTGGCAGACAGGATAAATGTGTGTTATAATTAGATTCAGTAAAAAAATGTGTGTAATATATATTTTCCAAGGCTCATATCTTTCACTGCAACCATGGAACTGAAGAAATATGTGCAACTTAATGTACTATTCAACTGCATTTTGACAGCTGTGAACTGCATAGATGGAGATATTGAAACCAGATGTGGGTTGTATTTGACATCTTTTGAAGAAAAAAGGAGCACTCAGTAGGAATATTGTTGCTGGTAGACATTGCAGTTGCCCAAGTGGATTGTTTAATACAATGTTTTTAGAAAGGAGGAGTATTATTTATCTGCCTCTTTTTGTGACACACATTGTGAACATCTGAGTGAAACTTTTTTCAGATGCTATATGGGATACACCATCAACTACTGACATGGGATAAAGCAATTTGAATTTCTAGAACAGGCTGCATTTGTTCTGATGGGCATCTGAAAAACCATTACTGGCTAATGGTGACTACACGTGCATTTTCCTTTTTATATTTCCTTTTTTTTCCCATTTATCACCCTGGCTTGCAGGCTTTCTTTTATACGTTATCTTTGCCCTCCTTGAAAAGAGTACATCCACAAAATGCCATGTTAGAGATTCCTTCTGTAGATATAAGAAATTATATAGGTCCCTAATTATTCGTCATTCATGCTGTAGTTGTTTTCAGATTTATTTTTAGGTGTTGTTTCTAGTATAACACACTAAAGGAGGAAAAAAAATCATATAAAATTCTATTAACTCTTAACAGGACAACGTCACAGTATATGGTACAGTAAACTCTCACTATAAAGCTCAGCTGGACATGTTACATCCAAATACTGCATACACATTCAGGGTGCGCTGTTCAGCAGCTGACCACTTCTGGAAATGGAGTAATTGGAGCGAGAAAAAACAGTGGACAACATGGGAAGCCCGTAAGTTTATTGAAGTTGTTGTTGTTATTATTTTTATCTAATATAGAAAGTGTACACCATTTACTTAATCTCAAATATGATACTTCATTTGTATTGCTGCATATTAAATTGTCTTATATCATTAATAAATCTCCTTTTAGCTCCTGTGAGGGGACCAGATATCTGGAGAGAGAGAAGCTCTGTTGGAGGAAATGTAATAAAAGTCTTTTGGAAGGTATATATTTATATGAATCGGTTTTCTTATGCACTTTTGGAGTGTGCTGAGTTTATAGTTGAAATAATCTGACTGAGGTTCAGTATGTAATAGTGCTAATTTAATGAGGCAGTTATTGCCCCGCACTAAAATGTTATCCTAGAAAGGTTCTCGCTCTCGTTATATCTCTCTGTTAATTACTAATGTTGTGTTAAATAGATTTGCCCACAAAATATCTTTCTTAAATTTATTCCTTGGTCATAGATGTCCTAAGTACTTTTGTTAACTCGTAACCCATTCTTGCATTAGTCTTTTGTGTGGTAAGACACTCTAACCATTAGATGTGTGTCGTCCTAGGTCTTGTTTTTAAATGCATTTTTTGTTTTTAAACATGATTTCTTTCTCTGTTGCTTAGCCACTACCTCTCCTTGAAGCAAATGGGGTAATACACTCCCATGTAGTATCATATTATCTGGATACAGAAGTACAGTCCAAGGAGATCCCTGCACCCTTAAACAGCACTGAAATCGAACTTGGAAAAAATGACTGTAACATCAGTGTTGTAGCCAAAAATGGAGCAGGCTCATCCCCTCCTTCTAGGATAACTAGCGTGGAACTTCCAAGCGGTGAGTGCTTGAAACTATTAAAAACAGTCAAAGAGTGTGAAAAAGCTGAGGTGGGTTGATTTGGTTGATTTACTGGAGAATTTAGCTGATTTGTGCGTGTAACAACAGAGTGCTTTTTTCTTCGTTTACAGTTTCTGGTTTGTTTTCAGACCAGTGTTTCACCAGTTTAATTGTACTCTTCCTATGAACAGAAGGCAATGCAGTACAGTTACCGGCTCTGAGCCTGCCTTGCAGTTTTCTGGAGACCTCCCAGGAATAACAAGGGAGAGGCTAAATCTTTGGCACAGATCTTTAACATATAGGTGGTTCTGTTTATTTCTGCGTAATCTTGCTGAGCCAAACAAACTTGATGAATATTTGGGATTAAAAATAGTTTCTTCCTTCAGGGGAATCATGTTCATGCTGCATAGCTTTTTAACTCCTGTTTTCCCTGGGAGATCTCTAACAGGAACTGTTTTTTAAAAACTCATTCCATCCTATGGGTGGAGTGCATTAACTGAGCTAAATGGCAAGGTTATCTGAATCGCTGTATTGAAAGTAGGGGGCTTATATGAAAGGCAGGCTTATGCAGCCTGCCAGTGGCCTTAATAGTAGAGGGCTAGCCTATCTGTGAAGGGAGCACGTTGCATTCCAGCTTGGTTTTGCTGTAAATGCCAATTGTGTTGCTGCCCCAGAAACAGACAATGTACCACATTGTGATGTGTGTTGCAATATACCTCCTGCTTCTCCCAGGATCTAGGGAAAAGCAGCCTCTGCTAGTTTTAGGCCTGATGTAGCTTTCTTCCCCGTCACTGTTCCAGCCAGCTGGGTTGTTTGGCTCATTAAGAGTACAGAACCAGGGCTCTCTCTGCCAGCTCCCCCACTCCCTGCATTGCAATTGTAGTGGCACTGAAGAGCCTGTGTTTTGTAAGCTCCCACTTCCCTTGCCCAGTGGTAAGGCTCACCATATTCTACCCTTACGCTGCTTTGTGAGGATGGAATCAGGGTGGTGGGGTCACACTTGTACGCTTGTGTGCAAAAAGTTTTCAGGTTCTCAAAAGAAAAAAAAAACTGTCTCTTCAGACAATTTTTTCCCTTTGAGGTCTGTAGTTTGGATATAACTGAATATGATTCCACAGGATTCACAGTGACAGACATTGTCATGCTAGATATCCTATCCTTCTGCTGTAGCAAAGTACCTGCTACCTGGTATTTTACAACTGCTTATGTGAAGGAACAGTAATTGGTCAGGACAGATAAATTAAAGGAATAACTGTAATAACTCCGCATGGTGGGCAGTGAAAAATTCTGGCTGCCATGTAATTAGGGCTCTCTAGATATTTCATCTCTCTTGGATATGAGTGAGAGTAACAGCTGGAGCTGTGTGATCATCGTAGCTTATTTCTGGGAAGAAAATGTTTGGAAGATGGAACTTCCGTTTGCTGCCGTCCGCAGCGTACTCGCTTGGGTTTGGCTACCGTGGCAGTGCAGAGGATTAATTGAGTCACTGGCTGCAGTCATTGAAACATGCATGACTCATCCACTAAACTGGCTTACGGTATCACATAGATGGTCACTTCTGGCTGCATGCTGTACAGTCTGGAAATGCTTTTAATGTCCACAAGAGAAAAGTATTTCTTGGACTTGAGATTTGTACTTTGCGGTTTTACGGGAGAGCTGAACAGGAAGCAAAACACTGCATTGAATTATTTGATCCACCAATATCTGCAAGAGGGAGAAGCAATCTATCTATGCAGATATTTGCATGCACACTAATACTGTAAAATCTGTGCTGCTGATGAAATATGGCTCTTTTAGATTACAGCAAAATAATGCACGTTCAAGATGATGCTCCATTTGCTTTTCTTGCAGTGAAAATACTATTGAGCCTGCTGAACCCCAGGATTCAGAAAGTTTCAAAGAAATACCCGTCTCATAAAACTACACTAATCCTACACATATTTGTTTTGGAATAAGAGTGTTTCTCCACGTGTAGAAAATAGCATTTTGACTTGTGCTTTCCTTGAATTTACATCTTTGAAACAAAGTATTTCAGTAATTTAAATTGGAGAGTTTGGCTGCCTCCTGTTCTGTTCTTCATTTTTCTCTATTTGGTAAAACCAAACAAGAAGAAAACGTGAAATTAATATTACCTTAATTAGCAATTCAACGATCTCTTCGTCAGGGCCTTAGTTTTGTTGGCTGCCAGCACATATCAAACGTGGAGCTTATAGGCCCTCTAACAGTCACGTGATTATCTGCAAGGTGTTGAGCAATTTCTTCTGGCAAACTTTTAAAAACTGGTCTTTCCCTTCAACTTGCTCTGCCATGATTGTCTGCCCTGTATAAAATGAGGTCATCTCAGCAGATAGGGACCAAGATTTAGGACAGTAAAAAAAGAAAAAAGTCAAGGTTCATCAAAATATGTGATGAGGTCTGCAGTCATTGCAATGACTCTTGGAGGGGGAATCCTTTAGCCCTGTTGGATCCCACTGAATGTTGGCCATAGGTGGAGAGGCTATAAGGAAAGAAAAAAAACTGGGGAGAGGTAGTAGGGGGAAAAGATGCACCACAAGAACCTGTGCACTAAGCACCCATACCGGGCCCCTGGCCGCACACGGGCACAGAGGCTCCTGCTCCCTGCCACAGCAAATTCCCTAAGCAAAATCCCTCTGTTTGCTGCTATTGTGTTTACTGCTTCAGTGGTTTGCTTGGAGCTGTCTTCTTATAAAGCTGTCTATCCTAGCTCCAACACTCGGTTGCCTAACCCAGCCTCACCCAGAGCCAGCCCTGTCACTCAGTCAAATGCTCCAGAAGGGGGAGGAAAATAAAAAAGAGAAAGAGAGGGAAAGAAGGAGTGACCAACCGACTAACTGACAAACGCACCCGAAGGGGGGGACCCCCTTCCAGGCAAACAGTCTAGCACCATTCAACCACCCCACGTCACTAGCAGAGAAAAGCCTCCTCAAGGCAGTCTCAGACCTGAGCTACTTATCCCAGAGCCCCTGTTCTCTGCTTGCTGCTCATTTTACTGCCCTCTCATCCCAGGGGGCTTTTTATAAGGCTGCCTAGCCTAGGTTCAGCCCTCAATTCAAGTTTACTGAAAAAACTTTTTCATTTTAAGAACTATGTGGTGTTAGATTCTCCTCTACCTCAAGCCGTGAGTCCAATCATCCCTCATCCAAAAAAGTAAATAAATCTATGAATTTGATAAGAAAACCCTACCCTAGGCAGAGGCTTTCCTCAAGTAGGGAGATAACAAAGATTTCACATAGTCCACCAAACTTCATGGAGACTCCGCGAAGTCTGACTTCTCCCCTTTTTTTCATACGGAAGGCCTTATTGCTGCAGTAATGGGTGGCATCATTTAAAGAAAAACCCTAAAATGGATGGATGAAAGGAATTGGCTAACATTTTGGCTGTATTTGGTGTCCATTTAGGTCAGGGATGTCAAACATACAACACGTGGGTTGGACCCATCTCCTGGGTGTTGTAGTGACCCCACATGCAGCATGCGGAGCCAGTCTGGCATGTGGACTGGACCTGGTGTCATCGCCTATGCATCAAATGTCAGGCCTGCTCCAGGGCTTGCACTGCCTGCCCACTGTCCAGGGTACTGACAGAGGGCACACAGTGCATGCGATACCCTGCTGGACAGCCCTGGGCACTGACTAGGGTGGCCATCATAGAGGAATCTGTCCTCTATTGATACGAAACCCAACGCCTTTGTCTTCTATTGTTTTCTCTTGAGAACAATCAATAGAGGACAGAGGACAACCAGACTGTCCTCTATGATGGCCACCCCAGCACTGACTCTGGCACCCACAGACAGCCTGGTGCCCAGTCCTGACCAGCCCTAGAGCCAGCTTTTGGGGCCAGACCAATGGGGTGCCACATGCAGCGCATGCCCCATGCCAGCCCCTGGATGCAGCCCATGCACTGCTGGCAGTGCAAGTCCCAGTGATGCACACTGCCCATGGCTGTGTGACACCCCCATTCCTGCCTCCCAGACCAATCCTGAGCGCTGGCTCCAGAGTGGCCAACCGCGTCTGCAGAGTGGGTCAGAGCTCCTCATTGAGTCTGCAGGGCCAGATGAGTTTGACACCCCCAGTTTAGATTAAAGCAAATCCATGAATTTGTTTTAGCTCTGCTAAAGGGTTCACCATCGACTACATTTGAGTGGTTTATAATGCTTCAAACTGATGTGCATTTACTCTGTAAATTCCTCTGGTCCAATCTGAGTGTCTAGAATGACCTCAGTGCATGTGTGTATCTGGTTTTCTAGATACTCTAGCTCAAAGGCTTCCATGTAGGTTGAATGAAAGATAAATGTGTAGGACTTCTTTGATGGTTTTTATACACTATTTTTATTGCAGACAATGTCAAAATAAAGCAGGCAATTGCAACAGGAAGTGGAATTTACATTACTTGGCAGTCTGACTCCGATGTGACCTGTGGCTACACAGTAAAATGGTGTCGTTCCCCTGGGTGTGAACCGTATAGTGTGGACTGGGAAACATTTCCTTCAAATGCAACAGAAGCTGTGATAACATCTGGTGAGATAGAATCAGTGTCTTTACAGAAGCCTTTCACACTGTCTCTTACCCCATTCTCATTAAGAAACTGGGGGACTGTGGTGTCAACACCCACACAGTCAAATGGGTCGCCAACTGGCTGGAGGGCCGCACCCAGAGAGTGGTGGTGGACGGGTCATTTTCAACTTGGAGGGATGTGTGCAGTGGGGTCCCCCAGGGCTCAGTCCTCAGGCCCGCACTGTTCAACATCTTCATCAGTGACTTGGACGAGGGGGTAAAAAGCACTCTGTTCAAATTTGCTGATGAC